CACTACGACAAATCGAAGAAGGCGTTCCGGCCGACTCCTTTTGATAAACAAGCTAAGGTAAACGAAAACTTAATATTTTAGTTTCGGAACAAAACACTTGCAAAATCAAAAGATTACACCCGCACCGACTTCCTATTGCGACTTAAATCAGTTGGAAAAATTAAGGCATTCCAGTATGGCAGCGGGGATATTTATTGATGTGCTCAACGCACGGTATCATTTACAGCCAAAACTTAGTGCAACATTCTTTAAGTACTTTAGCAAAAGTCTTTAAGGCTTATATGGGGAAAGCAGTTAGAGCTATATACACCAATTTGATCACTTTCTCAAGTAAAAACAAAAAGTAAGTTTTATGCATCTGCTACATAGATACAAGTCATTCTTGCCTAGTGATTGGTTGAGTGGGTCAAACGATTTGACATGCCTAAGCAATTACTGGGCATTTAAACTTTTTCATCCCTTCTTAATAGGGTAACAATTAGCAGTCCTAAATGCCTATAAATATTGGTCGTCGCTTATCCTTTCTTGTAACAGGAAAAGGGAATTAGAGCCTTTGGATTTTTAACCAGTTGCGTTTTACGTAATTTTAGAGACGCGGAAACCCATTTTTATATCCATTTTTTACTTACGCTCAGATATTTCAGGGGCCATATACCTTGGAGATCCCTGGTCCGCGGTTAGGTCTTCATCTTCTTCTCGGGTAGTCCCAAAATCACACAATTTAAGTAATCGGCAATTGTCGAAAAGGAGCATATTCTTTGGTTTAAGGTCACGATGAATCTTTGGTGGTTTACAATGTTCGTGAAGGTATTCCAGAGCGTTTGCAGCGTGTAAAAACCACAGGAATGCGTGTGACATCCCGTACTCCACGCCTGATTCGAGGACTATCCAAATTTATAAAAAGACAAGAACGTAAAGGTTCTTTTCAATTGAGAGGAGACCTTGATAAAAAATTTTAACACCATATTGAATTAAACAATCTAGCATCATAATTAATATACTAAAAACTTACGCTTCTCTAAAGAACTATTCGGGGCAAATTCAATAACGATATACTCAAGACATCCGCGTGCAGGGTCCGGTCCAGCGGCGACAAGGGCAATAATGTTCGGACAATGACATTCATACAGGTATATGAGTTCACGATAGCGGGATAATTTGTTATCCTTGTTAAGCAGCTCTTTAATTGCAACTAAGTTGCCCCGGTAAAATCCCTTGTATATTAGGCCGGAATTTCCACTGCCAATTGGAGCCTGGAAAGTGTCAGAGTGTCCAAAACACCGAAGATCATTCCTATCTATCCGCGGTACCATTATGGAATCTTTAAGGAGCTTTTGTAGTTCTTCATATTGTCTCCTAAAATAAAACTTTATATTGAAGGATTCTCAAATATTATTATAATGGCAAATCTGAAATACATTTTTATGTTCCTAATTGCAGCCTAATTATTTTTTCTAATAACCAAAACGCATTTGTTGTATTATGGAAAAATTGACCTGACACAAGCTTACTTCTTTAAATTCTCAAAAGTCATAGTATATGCGGTTTTGAAAATCTGCCATCTGGTCGTTCTTGACTAGTATTGGTGATTTCCATCACATATGATCCGTTGTAACAAACCAAATCGACCCGTTCTGTTTAAATCGTTACTGTGGTTATGAAGGTTAGCTCCTCGCTTTTCAGGACGCTCATCGGTTGTAACCCGCGACGCTCGGATTACTTGTCCCTTCGTCGATAATTTCATCCTTCCGTGCCGTGCTCGGACACTAACTCGCCCAACTCCCCATTCGAGCAGTCATTGTCCTAAAAAACTTCCTCCATTTCGTCTCTTACTCCATCCGCTCGTACCTCCGATTCCCGCTCTGTCGCAAAGAATCCATCACTTCCTATCAACTTTCTTGACCAAATCCCTGGATGCCGCCAAGCATGCCACTGTGGACACAACCCGTCCTGCAAGTCGTTAAATATTCCTTCTCCTTTTATCGAATAGGCTGCCTTCCATGTCATTTCTAATAGTGCCCATTCTTACTGCGAACCAAAAAATTCAGGCTCTTCTTGAAATTGACGCTAGTGACTCTTTAATTACCCGGGGCAGCATTTATCAATGTTTTTTGTTGTATACATCCGCAACATTGTTCACGTCCTATCCAGGCCGCTAATGGTACCCAGATTCCTATTTTACGTTCTATTTCCTTGCCTTTTCTCTTGTGTGACCCCAAAGATGCATACGATTTTTAATGAACCCCTCTATTACCAATAAACGTTATTCATCCAATTGACTTATAAATTATCGACTATAAATCATTTCGAAGGAAAATCCACTCCACCGTTTAACTAGATGGATTCTCTTTTAGGAAATATCTTCTTAAAACCACAGCCTGCGGAACCGGAACCCCAATACCAATCTACCTGGCCTACTAGCTCGCTGACTATACCGTAAAATACCAGAAGATTGACTGACTGGTTAAATGTCAATATAGTCGGCATTTTTGCGTTAGCCCAGGATGGAAACGGTATGATCAACTAGCTGAGAAGATGCTGTTGCCCTTTCCGTCACAGCCGTTGACTCTCCTACAATTGACCGTCGTCGCGGTCGTACTGTATTCGCTTCTTTATTTCAGCATACACAGCTCTGATCTTTGCAGTGGCTCCCAGCGCTGCATACCCCACCGGTTATCAAATGG